GTTAATTCTCTGCAATCCAAGTGGGAAAGCTTTAGTCGGGTTATCTCACGACTTCAGAGAGAATCTGCTTAACCATCACTTGATGGCATTGATAACAAGAGGAAAACTCCCAAGCAGCATCTGAGAGAGAAGTGCTGGGATTCGTAAAGCAGATATGAAAGAGGGTTGGTTTAAAAAAAGTGTAATACAGAAATGTTTCAGTCACACCATGCCAACCATCGCCTGTGATACAGAAACGAGCGAAGGCTTGACATTTTATCCCAAAACAGAGTAGTGAATGCATCTTACCTGAATATGCCTTCTGTGTCACAACCATACCGTTGCAGATGAGCAATGATGCTCATAACTGATTTTGGTGGTGTTGAACCGTCCATTTTACGACCAAAAATTCTTGGAGAATCCGAGCGATGTAACACAAGGTTCCTGAAGTCCTTGATCGTTTAACAGTTTCTAATAAGCGACACTTTTTGCTCAACAAGAATACGAAGAAACAGCACTTTATCCACCGATACACCCTTCGAAAAAAAAAATCGCTTCGAACTCGTTTCGATCCAAAGTGTTAATGGGCCAGTAGTGAAGTTCGAAACTAAGAATCGTGCTGAATACTTCCAGTAAAAATGTCGGAGCTTGAAAAATATGAACTGGATCATTAAATTCACTGCATTTCTAACATAGAAAATTTATTCGTAAATACTTTTATGGAAGAATTTTGTTAAAAGTCGTTAACGGCTGGTTTATAAACAACGAAGATAAACATGGATGATGAATTCAGGGAAGAACTCGGTAGAAGAGAATGAGCAGAATGGGCAAAGCAGTGGCCTCTGAGAGAGGTGACTGATCAGTTCACTAAACCCCACCTGCTCGTTCACATAACTGATGTGGTAGCTCTTCCAGCTCTCCGCTGCATAATGGAAACATGGTCTAATACCTCAGTGTTGGTGAAAAAAGAAGAACAATAGGGAGAACATTCGATCGACGACTTGTGATGATGAACCGGCACCAAGGCCGTTTTCGTTGCTCAGATCATAGAATACTACCCCGCCTTCAAGAAGCAGTAAAGTAGGTTCCAAAAATAAGCGTCGTTGGGTTGTTAATGAGAAACAGAGAACGATTACTGGATGAAAAAACAGACGATGGAGCAGATTACGGAAAAATCTAAATGACTTCGATGTGGATCGTGAGGAACATGAGCCGATGCATTCGTTGCAAACACAAACCAGCTACACCCACCGTACCTGTGTGGATGGCGGTTGTATGAATGTGAAGAGAAGGGAAAAGGCAAGGACAGATCACCTAATCATCTGTGTAAGTAAGTGGCAAGTGCACCGACACTTAACTATCGCTACCGAGTGCCTAGTTATGCTTGTTCGCAGGAAACTGAAACAAAAACAGAAAACAAGTGGATAAGAAGACATTAAAGAAAAAGATAGAAGAAACCAATTGTGATGCGATTTTGCTAAATAAAACAATGTGAGCGACATGAAAGAAATGAGCTAAGCACACCAACTTTATGCTGTTGATTTTCTGCATAACGAAATTCTTCAACGACTTGATGATAGAGAACATGATCAGCTCGTTCGATATCAGAGAACACAGTCTGAAAGCGCAACAATGGGAAACACACCAATAGGTTTCCATCGTTCAAGTAATTGCTTGCAGAGAAGCCGAATCGTATTCATTTGGGCAAATGAAGTTAAATCCGTTACAGTAGCACTGACCTGTTCACTGCTCTTAGCAACAGCCCTGGTGAGATGGACAGTGAGAATGAACATCACTTTCAACAAAATTATCGGGGTTCTAATACAAGGAAAAGTGGAAAAACATCAACGTTATCCGGAGAAAGATAAGTTACTGTCAACGAACAATCAGTCAATCAACAATCATCCTCTACAAAACGACACCGCCGAATGAGTTTATTTCATATGAGCGGTGCTGCACTCGATTTCACTCGATGCAATCACATAGACCCACATCGGAAGTATAAATGGCTATGGACCAACGTATCTTTTCAATCTGGCACTGAAAAAAGAAAGCTTGCCAAACTTCAGCAAAGCGAAATCATCGTATCAACTTATCAGTGAAAAATCATTTTCAGGAAATAACTATATTTTACCCTGTCACATTGCTTGAACGGGTCGTGGAAGTTGTTTAGCAGGAATTTTTTTCTAGTAAAGATAACAGAGTATGTTGCCCCGTATTTATGGCACATGCTATATAGACATGGTTCTCTAGCTCATCCCAGCGCTAACGACGAATCGAGCTCTAGATCCCTACGAGGTGGGTGGGATGAAACAAGACTTGTCTGGGAGGATAATTTTGTGCCTCACCTAAAGGAACCCTTAACTCGTATAGTGTGCATGAAAAGTCATGGTCACGTACAGTTTCAACTACGAACTCATTACTGTTTTTTTTGTTATCGGTGTAGTGACGGACAAACTGGTGATAGCATTCAGATCCTTCAACATGAAAAATTTTTTAAAAAGTGAAAGTGCAGGATTTCGGATTGCAGCTTGGTACACGATAAATGAGGGTAAGCCCTCAGTTTTGTGGAGTGTTGTTAATAGGAAAGCACAGATGTTTAACACAACTGCGATGATGCACATTGATCTTGATGCATATGATGCCAATATAATGGAAGCTCGTTCAGATGCAATGAGAACAAATGAAATTTTGTCAATTCTTTCCATGAAAATGAAATCCTTACTCTTTGAAGCAAATAGAGCTTTTTTTACCTTTCTGAATTGAGTTTCGTGTTCCGAACATAAAAGAAAATGGATAAATAGGATTTCCACTAAGGTGATACGCTGCTGTCCAAGTGTCCGCAATGTGTAGATGGTTAGGTTTGTGGCTCCCGGGTGGCGTGGGAGATATTCTATTTTTTGGAAGTTCTCTAGTATGAAAAAAGGTTAAAAGAAAAGAATATGCAATAAAAGTTATGTATAACCTTGAGATAGTAGATCAAAGTCCTCCTACTAGTCTGTAAAGCTCGCAACTCCTCCATCGCCTGTTGTAAGGAAATCAGCTACTATATTTTAAAAGTGCATCTATCATCTATCACCACAGCCCTTTTAAATAAGAAAAGCAGCTTTCACGTTACATTGACGCAAGAAAGCGCTACTATAACAGAAGCTCCCGACGGCAGAAGCATCCGATCCTTCAGTCTTCTGTTCCTTGTTGGCAGACGCTATATCTATTCCGCCATGTGGCCTTCAATACTCCTTGTCACAATGTGGCTCCTCCATTTTCTTGTTTCTGAGAATTCTTTGGGGATTATGTCAGTTCAAGGAAGCGAAGCTTGAACAAAGACTGCGGTAAATGAGCACTCTTGCATAGATGTGTTCTTCACTGTCAAGTTCGCAGCTATTTTCGCAAATATTTGATTAATATTTTTCCTGAGCCTCCATCATAGATTTTGGGTCAGTTTTAGCACTTCTTCAATTAGGATCTCTCGCTTCCGTTCATATCATATGCAGGTCTTCATATTTTTACTTGTGAATTCACCTACTGCTTGTGAGCATTCCGCCTTCTACATGAACACTGTTGAATGTTTTCGAGTCCATTTCCTTGGGTTCCTAGGAGAGCCGAGCCATGACATTCCTTGACTTTCATCGTTGAGGATCGCCAACTTTTGTGGATCGGAGGAAGCCGGCTGACTCTACACGACTCAGATATTAAGTTCCCATAGGAGACGAGGTGGAAGACTTTTGGCGCGGGGCAGGATTGGATCAGAAATTCCCCTATTGAACGGCACCAAAACACCTAGCACCGGACTTCCTGTGCTCTGTTACGTGTTTTGGGTACCGAGAATTGAAAGGAAGCCTACAAGGAATGCTTTTTATTCTACGTGGTCAGTAAACCGATTTGATCTGTATCTGTGATGCAAAGGGCGTACATTCCCTTCACTACTTAGTTGAAGTTTATGGCTTATTTCACCATTGAATTTAACAAGTTCACAATCAGCTCTATGGTCACATGTATTTTTACGGCGAAAGCAAGGGCTTTTTGTTCGTAGCTGTTCAAAAAGTTCGAAGCAAAACAAGAAAAAACTTTATCCTGCATAAAAACACGGAAATGGAATCAACTCGTTAAGAGTAACTTAGCCGAAATTCATGTCAAGAAATAAATAGAAGTAGTGGTCCATTTTTTAAGTTTCGTTGAAAATATAACGTAGTGGAGAGCACCGTTACGAATTTCTCAGTGGTAAATTTGTTCAAAACTCTGGTTCGACCTCTCACAGAGCAACAATGTCTCCCATGTCTTAAAGTTTGGCAAATTGACACCACATTTATGTGGGAAGAGCTTCTCTCCACGCTCCAACTCGTAACGGTTGACGACTACCTATGGTGAAGACCTACGGACACATCAGTTCCAGAATTCAAAGCAAAGCAGTCGGTTCTCGATCAACGATGTTCGAAACGGAGACCAAAAATCCTCATGCAGCAGTGGAGTCAACAGGCAAGTCAGAGGATCTTAGTCAGAGGGAATAATGAGTAATTATTCTAGAGATACTATTAAAAAAAACCCTTAGTTTATTGATTCAAGCAAATCACTAGTTTATAAGCAAGGACCGACTATAAGCATTTTCAATTTCACGACATAGCCAAGTGTTCATTCTGTGACAAACAGTTTACTTCCTATTCTTTGCATTCAGTGGAACGTGTTTCTTAACAACTACTCTTTATACTTAGTAAGTGCGAAAAACATTTCAGGCAAAACTTTTAGTCCACACCGCGAGTGGGGTAATATTAGGCGGGCCCCCACGGAAAATTAGATGTAGCTGCGAAAGTTTCGCGCTTACGATCATCCACGGAGAGAAAGCGGGAAAACAATATAAAATTTGACCAAACAATCAAATTGCAACAATGGTAGAAGAGGCGAGAGGTGAGTAGAAAACACAAGAGACGTCATGATTGGGAACGTTAGTATATTTTTAGTATTAGTCGGAAGTATGGTACGTTCGCAAATGAGATTCGGTTAACTGGATTTTCACGCCTGAAAAGTTAACTAATCGTATAGTCCGTATTTATAGACGGTGCTTTTGCATCCTGAAAGAGCGTTTTCAGTTGTCGCACACTCCAGTTGATCTCCAACGAATCCATTCCGACACATGGCTCACCACGGCGTCCACTTTTCACCGATGCCGCTCTGGAACATCGTTAATGATCTTCAAGAAAACTTAACCGACGTGACAGATGCATCTACCTACGTGGATTGCAAATCTCTCTAGCATCTATGCATTCGCATTGCTAGTACTCATTTTTAATCATACAAAAAATTTTCACTTTAAACAGCTTAGCATGCTTGAACTTTTCAAGTTATAACACTTATAAATTTTACAAAAAAAACGCTTATTAATAACTCATGTCTAAATGCAAATGCGCCGATACCTTTGAACATCTCTTTGCACAGCACTTTTATCACCACGTTGAGACAATGACCTTGTTAAGTCCATCCGCTTGGCTGGTGAGTCATTCTTAAACTGCTCATCTAAAACACAAGGCGATTAGGTGAAGCCACGACGAGGTTATTTCTCCACTAACCAATACGAGGCTCAATGCAGTATGACGAGAAACGCTCCGTAATGATTTGCGGATCAGTCTGTCTGTTCGTATTTGTATTGGATCTTGAGTGCATCTCCTGGCGCTTGGAAGGTTGTGAGTACATATCGTCTCGGAGTGTTCGATTCTCTACCGCACGTCGGATGGATAGAGGTGAAGCATTGGACTCGCTGAACTTGCGTAGAAATCGAGGCGACTTGTCTACGTCAATGCACGAGTGGCGAAACCGCGTCGTCTCGTCAGGAGCATGGAACGATCGACGAAGGCGCTGTGATGTGCTCTCGACAATCAAGTGATTGTCACAAAGGCTTTGAAGACGTTCTGAAAACGACCAACGTTAGTCACTGTGTTCAATACTAATATATTTTATAGCATTGATCGTAAGCAGTGGTTTCCTGCATGCTTCGCGACTGAAAAATTAGCATTCGAAACTGGAATATCCCAATTTAAATTTCGAGCCTACCACTAACAATTAAGCTAAGGTATTCGTAGCAATCGATTTGATCTCATTCATGTTTCAGGACTACGGAAAACACTAAAGATTTGTAACAACCCTCTGTGAACTCAATAAAGCAGGACATTGATTATCAATACCGATGCCGAATGGAATCCAGTAGTGACACTGTCGTTCTGCTATACATCAGATAACACTATCTGACCGCTGCATGATCGACTGTCACAAAAGAAGCTAACAATTTTGGTGCAATCGGCATTATGAACTTAGCATTCAAAATTTGCACTTCAAGCCTACTATTAGTAATCTACCTACAGGATTCGTAGCTGCGGATTTCTTTCACCAAAAGAACCTTGTTCAGTCTCTGGCAATAATACTAAGTACGTTCAACGTGGTCTTCTCGTTTTGGTTTTAGGCAAACGTTAACTTTCATAATGCTTCTCACTAAGGCTTCCGAAACCATTGCTTCCGAAAAAAGTTGCTGAGAAGATAACACCTCTTATAAAATCATCTTTGGCCATTTCGGCTGAGAATTAACGCTATGATTATATGAATGTGTCGTTTTCTTGTTCAGCAATCGCGAGGTTTTTAAACAGCATACATTTACTTCCATAAAAACACAATACAGTACAACGCTAGCTGACGTTTCGGCAGTATCGCCTTCGCCAGGTACGATATACCTGATCTCGTGTAACAATTGCGGAGATGAATATATTGGCGAAACGGGCAGACCTTTGTGTATCCGTATAAAAGAACACCTAGATGGCAAACGAAAACTAAGACGAAGCACCCTACTAGGCACGCATAGGATGCAAAAGCATAGCGGAGGCGATTTTGAAGTAAAAGTCAATATCCTTGCACAGGAGTCCAAAACACCAGCGCGAAAACTCCTAGAGGCTTTTTGGATAAATGCCAGAAACCCTACAATGAATAGCAGGGATGAATGTCCGGAGGTCATACGCGACCTGATCCCGTACGTTCGCATCGATTTTTGATGTGCGATGGTGCAGTCGTCAACCACATGCGACTATAATCAGCTGTTCTAAACTTCCTCATTGGAAGTCACGAAAAAAGCAGTGGGTTTTTCGAGAAGTTGTTGATCGTGTAATTACCAAAGAGTCTTTCGTCTTTCTGTAAGTGTTATTGAAGGGTTTGGCCCAGTAGATTGTATATCAGTATACCCTTCCAGGCTCTGAAGAAGGCGATACTGCCGAAACGTCAGCTAGCGTTGTATTGTATTGTGTTTTTATGGAAATAAATGTATGCTGTTTAAAAACCTCGCGATTGCTGAACAAGAAAACGACACATTCTTATTCCAATGCCGAGGTTAAGAGAAAGTCGATCCTGGGAGCTATGATTATATCTAATAGACTGTATTGCAAACGAAATAAATGAGGAGCTGCATGAGTCCACCATGAAGTACAAGACCATCCATGATAAGGAACAATCATAGAAGCTCTGCCCTAAACTTTGGATGTGGGTAACTTAATAATATAGTTTTCCAACTCGTTTTCTACTCTGGTCGGCTTTTGGGAAGGTACGGTAGTTGAAATCACAGATGAGTGCAAAAAACTCTTCAGGACAAAAAACTTCGGGACAGATTTACGACACCACTAAGAATATTTGGAGCTCCAAAGTTACCAAGATGTCTAAGCTTTGAGAAACTGTAAATTTGGCGCACCATCCTGAAGTCTACACGTGGTACAGATTTCTGACCTTAGCATAAGTTTCTAAAGCTCTACTCTACAGTGCTATGATTATTGTTGCTTCTCATTGCCAGCGTATTTTTAATCACTTTCAAAAGTTCCGTGCCAAATAATCGAATCAACTTGCAGACAAATATTTTCTATAAATAACCTAGGCAGCATATTTGATAACAAGTGTAGTACCTGCTATCGTTCTCAAGATAGGCTCTTGTGACGGTGGATCAGGAGTGAATGGATGCACATGAACAGTTGGTTTTTGTGTCTCATCGTTACGCACTATATCCTTGGATGTCGAACGCAACGCAATGTCGACTCCCGTAGCTTCTCTCCGAAATTCAAGAGGATCTGCCGTTAATTCTTCACCCTTTAAATCAAGAAACAGTGACGATGTCGAATGAGAATGGAGCAACCAGAATTAGCCATTACCTTAGCGGTGTGTGTGGTTGAAACATAAAAGGCTTGGAACGTTGGATCACATTCACCGATTCGAGGCAGGCAGCAATACGGGGTCTGAGTCGCTTCTTCTCGTGACTCCTTACGAGGCGGAGGGTCATCCTGAATTGACAAATATCGCTAAAAGTTCCTGAAGTGTATTTGTTGCGCTTGAACCCCTAAACTTCAGAGAAGTGTACTTTGTCTCGAGTGTAACCTCGCTGCTTGAGTTTCCGACGATCACACCATTATTGAAATAAGAAAACAAGAGAGAACAAAAAAAATGTATAGGAAACGGAAGTTCCTTCTATACAAACGTCTCATTCTCTTAGTCGAATATGAAGGTAAATGACATCAGCGAGGGACTAAAGCTAACTGTAGATCTTAGAGCTCAAAAACTAGCTGAATACAGCCCATATAATAAGAATCTTTTCAGTGAGAAAGCCAGTAAATAGGTCAAAACTTTGCTTTTTCTACTCGGAATGAACCCCGTACATTCATAGATCACTAAACATTCCCACTTATGTATTCTTTCTTGATAAGCTTGCACGAGGTTGATAAATATATTTATTTTCGGCTAACGTTTCGACGTCTTCGTCTTCCTCAGAGCCGGTGATCCGAGTCGATGGTCCATGCTTATTGTTCGCCTCGACGTTGCGTCTTCGCCTTCGTGTCGAGCCAGATCTTCCTCAGTGAGCCATCTTCTCGAATCGAAATATTCCCACTTATATTAATTCTTAACATTGAAAAACCACGCAGATGAAGTGTAACAACTATTCCATCTGTTCGCATTTTCTACATTACGGCGCGTTTCCTATGCAAGCTTTATTAATTACGAGCTACATGTATCCTTGTCTTGCAAGCCGCACATTCTTTATCTGCCTTTTTAATCTTAACCTCTTTGTGTGAACCAAGTTTCTGCGTATCGCCATGTTCAATGGTTTCTCCCACATATTTAGTATGAATGGAAACAGTTCTTTCTAAGACCTATCCGCCTTTGTCTGGCAGTTCACGCACTGGGTGAGCAGTTGTTAGCTACACGTTCTTCCTTACCTATCCCTTGGCATAATCAAATCAGCTACCTGTAAAACCACACATTTTATATTGTTGCAACTGACCCTTGAAAACCAATGGATGAGAGGCTGTGTAGTTTCTTTGAATGTTAACAACTGTATTAGCACGAAAAATTAGCTGGAAAGGAGTCACATGCACTACAGAGCAAAGGGAGTCGTCCTTTCTCTACGTTTAAATGCTGTCACGACCTCAACTTTATCGCTTTTTTACCTCCTGTTGTATAGCTCTATTGTTAAGCTCTGCATCTATATATGCAGAATTAAGCGCCGCGGCATGTTTGGCACGTTATAGTCCTATAATCGATGAAGTGTTAAAGTTAATACAATCCTACATGTGTTTTCAACCAGGTTAATCTCATTCAATCTCATTTATATGTTGTATTCTATGTAACAGCTATACGTCACATTACTTCACCAGCGTATAGCATGTGTCCTGTCATATCTCAAGATGGCTTTCTTCTTATTAATTTATGGTCTCTTATTAACTCTTTCATCGTCTTTTCGCTTGCATTATTTGATGTCACCACATCATTATTTGGGTATTGATGTTATTATGACACATAAGGTTTTAATTACCCAAGTATGAGATTTACCCCGTGGCTATAACGTAAAGTTTCACACAGCAAGCTCGTAGACAACCAGAATTTTGATTCGAGCTAGTGATTAATCGGCTACGACAGCTGACTCCAAAAACTATATTCCGCTAGGTCAACTACTATTTGAAATTGTCACATTCCCCAGTTAAATACACCGTACCGACACAACTTTTGTGGCATACAGTATATTTATAGATTAAGAACCAACTTTAGATATAGCTTAGCTTTTTCTCTAGATAAAATGTAATAAATTAACACCAAAACTCAAATGAAAAAGACCAAATGAAAATAGATAGGCGAATTGCCACACTCGAAATTCAAAAATTGAAATGGACAATACTTTTCTCAAAGACACCCGGTTCGGAATCCAAAACGAAAACCCCGTCCATATGGGCTTGCTAGATTTGTTGGAAACCTTGTACCAGAGAATTAACACTGATTTGTACGCCACGACCGACTTTCTATTAACCTCGGAATTGATCAAGTAATTTTCTTCGTATTTTTGTTGAGCAAACGCGAGGTGTTATTACTCTTTGTTCACGATTAAGCTGACGTTTCGGCGGATTTCGCCTTCCTCAGATCCTGGAAAGGTCAAGTTGATAGCAATCTATTCGGCCAGACGCCTCCATAACCAAACAAAGAAACTCCAAACCAAGATTTCAATCACTTTGAACACAGCTTTGCAAACTCACCGCTTCCTATGAGGTTTCCACTAAGTATGTCACGTAGAGGC